TTAGATAGAAAACTTTGAATCAATCTTACTGGATGATCTGGTGAACTGTAAAGTGCCTTTAGATGACATGATGTGAATTGGTGCTATAGATATAAACTGAATTGAATTGAATTGATAACGCTCCCTGGTGCTTTTAGGGTGCAGCAGCCTGTCACTGAAGGAGCTCTCCAGTTCAGCACCAGCTTCATGCATTTGGTGGGAAACATTATCCAACAGAGAGGATAATTTAGTTTGGATCCTTTTTTTCTGCTCTGAGTCCAGAGGACATCCAATCACAGAGCTGGCCTTCCTGATCAGCTGATCCAGACGCTTTCTCTCAGCTACAGATAAGTCACTGCTCCAACAGACAGCTCCACAGAAGATAGCTGATGCAAAAACAGAGTCCTAGAAGGTCTTTAGGAGTGCGCCCTGCAGACATTAGTCTCCTCAGCAGGAAGAGTCTGCTCTGACCTTTCTGATCCATAGCTTTAGTCTTGTGATTCCGGTTCAGTTTGTTATTCAGGTGAACACCTAGGAACTTAGAAGAGTCCACTATCTCCTCAGTGTCCGTTCGCTTGATGTTCACCGGTTGCAGTGGGGTGGATCTGCTTCTGCGAAAGTCCACCACTAGCTCCTTGGTTTTCCAAGTCATGGTTAAGGTGCTTACAAATTCACAAATATTCCAAAGGCAAATGGAAGATTCCTGCACACTTTATTCTTACAACATTATGTAGAGATTATTTATGTTTACTAAGATGCAATGAAGGTCTTAGGTCTCATATTATTAATGGATAAACTGTAAAAATACAAGGTCTAGAATAATGGAGCAATTTTAGCACACATTTTTGCTGTATGCATATTACCCTCTTAAATTCACAATAAACTATGCAAACAGTGACACCCACTGGGCAAAAATAAAATTTGCTTTCTGCTTTTGGCTTATATCTTAACCTTTGCTAAATTAAGCTTATACATTTCATAAAAAAAATTCAGAAGCAGCTAAGTATAAGGACCTTTTGTTTCCTTTGTTTCTTCACCATGACAGGAAAAGCCTGCAGGGAGTAAAGCTTTAACAACTACAAATGTAAAGAATTCAGCATTCTTCAGGTTCTTTATCTAAGCCCAGAGATGTCAAAACTATGAATGTTTATTGCTCTAGTAGAGGTATAAGTCCTACTTTGAGGTGCCAACATACACGATTAAAACTTGTCCTTTAAACAATAAAGTTGGGGATAGACTCAGCCGCTCTGAAATTGTATTAGATTTCCTTAAAACGCCACAATAAAGTGTTTTATTCTGCTCTTATTCGCACACAGCAGCTGCTGACACCATAAATGGCCTCTATTGTGGACTTCAACCAGGACATTTATTTACTGCTGTGCTGCGTTTAACGATACTTTGTTTTTATACATATGCAGGTCAGTTTGGAGCTACAAACATTTACCTCTGAAATCAGATACAGGCCATTCCAAAAAAGTTAAAAGTCCACTAAACTTTGTTTCCAAGTGTGAAGATGTTTCACTTCCCATTCAGGAACCTTTTTCAATTTAAAATGCCAGAAACAGTGTTGAGTTCCAGGCTTCATAGAGTGGACCAAAAACCCCCTAATAATGGGAGACGTTCCGGTTCTTTGTTAGCCTGCAATACCTGATACAGGTACAGGCCGCATTTTTAAGGAAAAGTCCGGTCATATTCAGAATAAAAACTCCTGAAAGTACTTCAAATATGAAATTATTACATACTGTTCAATATCTGATAAGAGTTTTTTATTAATATTAATTTTCATTTACTGGAGGC